CTTCTCCTGAACCTTTATCTATGGAAACTTCTCACTTCAACAACTGCAAACAGGAAGTATTTATCATCAATATCTAGATGGCAGACATTCTAATGTTCCAGAAATTGTGCAACTGTATTCTGTCTACCTGATTTCCGTTTTGCAGAGAACAGTATTTTTCCATTTGATGTCAAAGGTTTCACAACAGAACACCACACTCAGAGGAAACCTCAGCACAGGGTGCAGTTTCAGTGTGTTAAATTACTGCACAGCAGTGCTGCCTGACAGTGAAGAGTCCCATACAGACTCACTTCAGGGCAAAGACAGCTCAATAGCACTCAAGTGCCCGGGGCATTCAGAGCTAAAAGTCTCCTCTGTAATCATTGGTGCTACCCTACGTAACTGTAGGAAAAGTAACAGAACATAATCAGTGCTAAAACTCTGTAATTCAGACTTCCAGATAGAAGATTCTCTATAAATGGAAAAACTGCTTCATTAAGGGCCTCTGGATGTAATATTACACTGCAACTCTGCTCTCAGGTGCCACTGAGTGCTTTGCCTGTGGGTTATGAGCTAATTTAATCCACTCACAATGGTGATAAAGGCAGAGGTGCCTCCTCTTCATCTTCAAGTCCTTTCACGTCGGGCTTAATAAGAACACTTCGCACTAGGAAAAGCCAAACCAAAATGCATGAGTATGTTCAATAGGCACTGTTCTGCCTAAGTTGTTCTCCAAGATGGATCACACACACAGTGAGATGGAAAGGGAACTGTATCATCCAAGCCTTCAAATACAATAAACAAATAACAACAGGGAAAAAAAACACACACAAAAAAAATAAACCACCCCCAAAAAAACACATTTCCCCAACGGCAACTCAAAATCACAGCTTTTGCTAAATAGAATCATAACAGAGAATCAGGTCTTAATTCCAATCACTTTGCCGCCAATCACAAAGGTAGTATTTAAACGAGTAAGAGAATTAGTGGCAATTTTGTTCAGTATAAATACAGTGGTGTACTACAACTATACTGCTAATGATATTACCAAGTTAGTCACCGTGTAAATTGTTGATTTGCTTTAACATGTGTTCTTAACAAGATCAGCTTTCACTGAAATACTATCCAAGTGGCTAACCACTAGTTTTCAGACACAACAAATGTAAATAAGTTAGGATAGCACAGGATTTCAAAGTACACTTGAAAATTGGAACTTATTGATCTTTTCTGAAAGTTTAAAATTTCAAGTGAGTCGTACAGGTGATATCTGAAAATAGTTAATTATCTCTGCAGGTTTGTCCTGGGACCTCACCCAATAGGGAAAGCATCAATAAAACTATGGATATGCTTGTAAATGAACAGCTCAATAAAGCTGCTTTCCAGAAGCTGAAAAATATATTACTACACATGATGCTACACATTACATTATTTATAAATATTGTTACATGTATAACGTAATGCAATACATCATATTACAGCTTATACCTATTACACGTATGCAGGCACATGTAACTCGTTACATCTTAAATGATTTAACTAATGACAGTACTGTGTAGTTTGCAGTACTCACCCATGCATCTTTTCATACTCTTTTCAAAATCCCTTATTATCTCCCCTAAAAGCTTTTCAATTAACAGCTCTCTGTCTTTGCCTTCCACGAGTGACTGTGGCACCAGGCTGAGCATGGACATCAGCCACTGCTGCTGAATGGGAACCACTGGATTACTTTGCACACACTTCTTCATAAAGAGATAGTTGGTCTGAAAGGACAGTCTTATCAGAGCTCTAATAACAAACTGCATAAGTACTTCTTTCATTAAGTTTCACAGTGAAGTCTCTTTTTATTTACCATTTTTTTATAAGTAAGGGCAGAGAATACAATCATATGTTAGGTATTCACTGACTAGCACACTAACTGCTACTCTAAAGTTGATAGAACGGTCTCAGTGCTGAAACACAGAGCACTGAACTTTCCCATCATTTCACTTGTTTCTCTGATAAAAACCACAATTACCAATAAATCATTTATACCACTGTTCACACCACTGTTCTTCTGACAAACCATCTAGCAAAGGTTAAGCACAAACAGATGGAATTGTTTCACTTTTATTCATTTCTCCAAGTGATGCACTTGTTACAAAGCAGAAAAGAGAGCTGGATCACTGCAGTCTTCAGAATGCATTTACGTAGTGTCAGCAACCAGTCTGCTTAACACAAGCATTTCAGTGCTGATTTAGGTTGAAGGTGGCTTTCACAGATAAATTATTTTAAAAACCATACACAGTACAATTTTAAAATTGTACCAGTATTTGTATGCTACAGCTTCCTGTTGAAATCAGGTGAATAATGTTAAAAACTATTTCTGTAGAGGCGACAGCATGATCTACGTCCTCAACTGAAAAAAAATCCAAAGCCCCTTAGAATATTTGCTAAGTAATGATCTTTGAGGAAGATTTTGATTAAAACTTCAGATACCAAAGGACATACACATGCCTTCTCTAACAGAATACGTTCCTTCCACTGGACCACCAGACAGAATTACCACTTTTGCTTCCTATCCCATTTTCCCCATCCGAGACTATTGCAAAAGTTTTTCCTGTTTAGCAGGTACAAATTCCACATGACATACTCAGCTCCTCTGAACAGAGATATCATTCACTGTTCTACTCTCAAAATGCAGAACAAAGAATTTAACTCACTCGTCGTTGCTTCTGTTCACTGTTCATCTGTGTAAAGAAAAGAAAGAACTCCTAATGAATCAGAACATTAAGAAAATAGACTTGTATCAGTATATATATTAGCACCAAATTCAGTGGGCCTATTTGAGAATATAAATCCATTTATGAATTATTAAGAACGGACACAAGTATCTTTAAGGGAATATTAAGAATAAAAGAATAGATGTCCCAGTAATAAAGCATAAAATAAGCAGTAGTGACAGTATTAAAGAAATACACACTTACAGTGGCAGGTAATTCTGGGACTGGAGGTGCAGAACCTCTGTGATGTTTTTCCTCCATAGACTCAGAATAGACTTCTAAAGCTCGATCAACTCTAAAATGTGCAGTTAGAAGTGCAGCAAAAATAAAAATATTACATTAAAAATAATGTGATGATCTTAACTGACGTAACCTATTTTTTCATGTTTGATCACTAAAAAGTGAAGCACTCTGCAGATTCTGTCTTCCGTGATAAAAAGAACAATATTTGTCCTAACCACAATCAGAACATACATATATATGTATCTTAATTGATCCCACCAGCTGCCCTGTGCTCCTGTTGGGATTACATGTACTTTTCCTCAAACTACTACAACAGACGTTGTCCAACTGTATTGTGAAAAATAAATACATAAAGTACAGAGTGGGAAATAAAACCGTGGAATCCTAATCCTAAAACCGTGGAAATAAATGGGAGGCATTACTTTTGGAGCAACCTACGTATTTATCAAACCTGGCAGCTGTGATCCTCAGGCAGCAACACATCACCAAGTTCATGTGCAAATGTATTAAGATTAGTGACAAATAAGCCTTTTAGAAGTAGATCCATGCTTGGATTGCTCATACGAAAGAAAGTAAGAGATCCAGACATTGGTGCTCTTTGAATATCTCAACAAATACTCTTCTACTATTAACAGTTTTAGACGGAAAATATTCAGCATTACAATAGTGACAAAAATACCTCTGAAATGAACAAACATTGGTGTTACTTCTCAGTTGTGAAAAGTACAACGTTTCTTTCGTTTGAATTTCAACATTCCTTGAACTTCACTACTCCACATTTTACTCACAGTAACTGATTAAGCATTCTTTGCTGTTCTTTGCATCTTCGGTACGTCAGCAGCTTATTCTGTAATGGTGACGTATCTGATGCAACCGCTGAAGGCAAAACAATGGGAAGAAACCAACTTCTCAAAGTCTTTTGATTGGAAGGTGCTCCACCTGAGTGGGGCATCTGGCTGCTCCGTAACTCGGATCTCAGCTCCTGCTCTGATAGAGCCTGAGACAGCATTACTGTTCCTGTGGCTTCACTGCAGGATGCAGAGTCCTGATGGGAAAGAAGCAAATGGAAGCACAAAGCTGACCTAGAGGCATACAGAGTGAGGTCTGAAACTGCTGAAAGACGGGCAGAGCGTATTTTTCCCTTCATATTTCTCAGGGAAGGAAAGGATTAAAGCTATCGTCTATCTGCAAAGTACCTCAAAAGTTATGCAGCACACATGGAAAGATTAAGGAATAGCGCGAACACCGTGTAAAAAGCAACACAACGCCGCGGGTTCTGCAGAAATAACTGCGTGGCGCTGGGGAGCCCAGCAGGGCTCAGCCGGGCGCGGCTGCCCGAGCTGTGGGGCCGTTCCCTTGGAAACGCCGCGCACAAACTCGAACTGCATTTCAACGGCTTCTAGAAGGGGAAACGCGGAGCTGCATCCCGCCTCAGCGCTGAGGGACGCGGCGACAGAGAGCGAGCTGAGCCCAGCAGCAATTCCCGCCAGGTTTCCCGCCTGCCTGCCGCGCTCGGCGAGGACTTCACGTCCTGCCTGCGGACCTGAGGGGGCTGAGGCTGTAAGGACAGCGGGAGAGCTTCAGGCCGCTTTACAAACACCGGGACGGTTTTGTAATGCGATTCAGCAGACCGGGGCGGTTTTGAACGAGCAGAAAACGAGCACGAAGCCCAGGTACCCGGGGCAGAAGGGCGCACAGGCAGCTCGCCCCTCCCTGTACCTGATGTGCAGAACCGATACCCTTTCCAGACATTACGGGGACGTGAAGAGTTCTCCTGAGGGTTTCAGTCCCGAAAAGAAGGCAGCTTCGCGCTGAAGACACAGAACTCAGCGAGAGACACGCAGCAGCTAACGGAACGCCTGCAGCGCCCACGCGCGCAACGGCGCACCTGAGAGGCGGCGCGTTCCCGCCCTGGGGCGGGCACGAGCTGCGGCCATTGGCAGCACCGCCCCTTGGCGCGAGGCCGTGCCGGCCGCTCACTTCCGGCCGCTAATGCCGGAAGCGCCGCGCGCCGGCTCCATGTGGCGCGGGCTGCGCGCCGCCCTCGGCTGGCTGAGCCGCCTGGGCGGCGGCGGGGCTCCTCCCGCCGCTATGGAGCCCGCGGAGCGCGCCGTCGTGCGCTGCGTGCCGTCCGAACCCAAGCTGAGCCTGCAGCTCGTGCTCCCCGACGGCAGCGCGCGGTTCATGCAGCGGGACCAGGCGGAGCCGCTGGGCCGGGCGCTGGCCCGCATCGCCACCAACGCCGCGAAGGGCCGCTCCAAGGCGGGTAAGAAGAGCAAGAAGCCGCGGGCGGAGGACGGCGAGGCGGGCGAGGCCGAGCTGCCGGAGGTGCGGCTCTTCTCCAGAGACGGGCGGGCGGTGTCCGAGGAGGTGCCGAACGCGGCGGCCTGGCAGGACGGCGCCGTGCTGCAGGTTGGGGCCGCGCGGTACCGCGTGGAGCGCAACCCGCCTGCGCTCACCGAGCTGCGGCTGCCGCGCTCGCTGCTGGCCGGCTTCCCCGTGTGCCCCAAGATGAGCGCTGAGTTCGCCGCCCCGCAGCACTGCCTGTTCCGCTGGTACCGCGAGCGGCGGCCGGAGGGCGGCGGGGAGGGCCCGGCCTGGGAAGAGGAACGGGAGCCGGAGGGCGGCGAGCGTGTCTTCACGCCGTCCAACGCGCTGGTGGGGCTGCGGCTGAAGCTGCGCTGCACGCCCGGGGACGGCGCCGGGCGCTTCGGGCCGCCCCGCGAGGTGGAGAGCAGCGGCCCCGTGGAGGCCGGGCCGGGCGCGTGCACGTTCGACGCGCGGCACCTCTACACGCGCAGGGCGTGCGGCCGCGGCTCCGTGCGCGCCGTCTCATACAACATCCTGGCCGACACCTACGCCCAGACCGAGTTCTCCCGCACCGTGCTGTACCCGTACTGCGCCCCGTACGCGCTGGAGGTCGACTACCGGCAGAACCTGCTGAAGAAGGAGCTGTCCGGCTACAACGCCGACCTCGTCTGCCTGCAGGAGGTGGACAAATCCGTCTTCGCAGACAGCCTGGCCCCGGCTCTGGACGCTTTCGGGCTCGAGGGGCTCTTCAAGATGAAAGAGAAGCAGCACGAGGGCCTGGCCACCTTCTACCGCAGGGACAAGTTCAGCCTCCTGAGCCAGCACGATGTCGCGTTCAGTGAGGCGCTGCTGTCGGAGGCGCTGCACGCGGAGCTGCGCGACAGGCTGAGCCGGTACCCCGTGGTGCGGGACAAGGTGCTGCAGAGATCCTCCGTGCTGCAGGTATCTGTGGCCACCCTGTCCAGCAGCCGCAGCCCAGTGTTGTGGGCACAGTGTAGGGACGTGGCCCTGTTAGCCGGGTGCTGGCCGTGCACGGGGCAGGGCAGCGCAGACACAGTGCTGCCACTAACCTTATGTAGGCAATAACATAAAACTTTAAAAAAAGGCATCTTACTTTCTTTGCCATAAGTGAAGTCAGCTGGTAGAAGTGCTGGGCCAGGTGGGGCATTAGCTGCCCGTTGTTTCACTACTCAATCCTGTATTGTGATAGGTATATCACTAAACTTAATCTTGCCAGTTGTGACATTAACCTAAGTTAGCCTGCTTTAATAATGCCACCAAACAGGCGTGTAGAAATAAGAGTGGACAGATCTATGAGCTTGTGGATGCCGGTAAGGCAGCCTGCAGAGCTAATAGAAGTCTGTCAGGAATTTCAGAAGTGCTCCTACAGGTTTTTAATGGTATGAGTAAGAGTAGCAAACTTTCCTTGATAACTGGAGTCACCTCCAAATTTAATTTCACAAGAATACAGCACTACGGTTTGCTGAAGCCAGAGAGTCTTCTGTCTCTGTTTCTGACAATCGAGGAAAGAGCTGGAGGGGGGTGGGAGGGCAATAACTGCATTTTCAAACTACTGAATGGATTGAAGGAAAATGTGGTCAAACCAGAAAGCTACAGACAGAGCACTTATCACATATCCAGATGTTGGTGGAGTTCTGTGGTGGTAACACTAGCACTGTAAGTGGCTGAAATTTATACCTTATAAAGAGGATAAATAGACTCAATTTAGGAGTTGTGCCATTCATTAGTTTTAAGCATCAGATTCTTTGGACTGGGTTGCTGTGAAAGCATAAGTTAACTAATGCATTTGATTTAAATATATAACCTTTATTTAAAACTGATTAAATGTTTTTTTTCTTAAAGGTTTCAGTTCTTCAGTCTGAAACTGATCCTTCTAGGAAGCTTTGTGTAGCTAACACCCATCTCTACTGGCATCCAAAAGGTAATTTTACTGCATTCTTCCTTATTCTTTTGCAGCTGTCCCCTTTACTTGTGGAACTGAGGATTTTTCTGCCCCATTCCCTACCTCAGTGATCCAAGCCTGTCTACTAGATTTATTTATCTTCCTTACAGTAAGATTGCTGTGATCTGCTAGGACAGCAGTAAAATCCAAACAAACACAAGACAGTCACATTAAACACAATTTGCCTGAAACGTAGACCATAAAGTACAGCTCTGTGTGTGCTCATGGTTTCCCCCATCCTGTTGTACCCAAAAGAGCAATGTTGTGGTGCTTTTATCACAGGAAACAAGTTGGGCTACTGAAGCTTTCAAAAAGAGACTCTCCTCTATTGAATTAGTCCTATTTTAGTTCTGTGCCATTCACAAACACTGTAAGGTTAGTTTCCAAGAATTAGAAGGCTGCTGCAATATGGGTGTTTAAGGTACATAATTTTTTAAATTCATGGGAAGAAAAATTAAGCGTCCTCTGCTGTACAGCTTCGATGGTCACATATCGAAGACATCTTTGTTTATGGAAACTATTCTGAAATACAGACAATGGGGAATTTAAAGCAAGAGTGCTGTTTCAGAGCTGTATGCAACATGTATCTAAATGAACAACTTAAAAACTCTTCCAGTGCCTTCACAAAGTATTTTAAGTACATATTTTTACATCTTTAGGTGGGAACATTCGTCTCGTCCAAATTGCTGTAGCTTTGTCTCACATCAAGTATGTAGCACGTGACTTGTACCCTGATATACCACTCATATTCTGTGGAGACTTTAATAGCACACCATCATCTGGAACTTATGGTTTTATTAACACTGGTGGCATTGCTGAAGATCACGAAGATTGGGCCTCTAATGGAGAAGAGGAAAGGTGCAATATGCCTCTAAGCCATCCCTTCCAACTACAGAGTGCTTGTGGAGAACCTGCATATACAAACTATGTTGGTGGGTTTTATGGATGTCTGGACTACATTTTCATTGACAGAAATGCTCTGGAAGTTGAACAGGTCATTCCACTGCCAAGTCATGAAGAAGTAACAACCCATCAGGCTTTGCCAAGTGTTTCACATCCTTCAGATCATATAGCACTCGTATGTGACTTAAAGTGGAAATAGATTGGCTTTTGCATAATGCTTTTTGGAGTTTTTGTACAAATTGATGTGCTGTTGAGGAACTGAGGTTCAGCCCTGGCTCGTATGCTACTAAAATGAGAGCAATTTAAGAAAAGTGACTGTGTTTAATGGTGCTATTGAAGGTTATCTCACCGCTGACGTGAACTTGTACAACAATTGCTCCTTTCCCTTTTTATATGCCAATAGAAAAAAATATTTCAGCTGTAAAGTTTTGAAAGTTGGGTTATATATCCTTTTACAGGTTTTTAAAGGACTAAAATCGTTGAAGATATGAATTAAATCTTATAAGTGTACAAACTGAACCCTGATCAGAACCAGATGCAGAATCTGAAAAGAAATAACCATGGTTTGGATTCATTCAGCTCGTTGTGATTACTGTGATAAGACAGAGCTTTTAAAATAGACTCAGAAGCTGAGTTTATCAGGCAGTTTTTTAGCAAGAGGCATGATCACTGTACCTGCTGCCTTCGGAAAAAAACATTAATTAGCTGTGAATGGTCTTGTTCAATCAACAGCCATGTTAAATTTAAGATGATAATCAACTTGGAAGCACTTTTCTTGCCCACTTAGCACCAGGGTAGTGAGGGTCACTTAAACACTTACTAAACTGGATTCTAGATATAGGTTGCATTACTGTTCCATCTGTTGTCTATAGTCAGTAGTAGTATTTGAGGTTAGGACAGCCAGCTGGGGATGGGAGGGAACTCTGACAACATAATTTGATAATCTCTTTCCAGGTGTGGGGAGGTACAAAATAAATGACGTGGTGTATCCATTTCTGCCTGCGTTTTTAAAGAAAGAAACAAGTTACTTAAAACTTTATAGAAAGCACTTATTCTACAAAACACAAATACTGGTTTTGTACAGTGTTCCATGTGGAGCTACTCCAGTCTAGGTAGTTTGGATGTTGGGAAACTCGCTTTGTTATCTTCATTGAATTTGTTGGAAAGGGTATGAATCATTAACTTCCCCTGCATAATTAGTCCATATGAAACGATCAGCACTTAAAGGTATTTCACCACATTATCTTTCACCTATTAAGCTTCCTTTCCTGCCAGTTCTCACTTGATTTCTCTCCAGTCACAGTTGCCTAGCATGGCAAAACAAGTCCTAATGTGGTAGTGCAAAAAAACAAAAAAAACCAACAAAAATAAACAACAGCTTGATCTCAAATGGTAGAAGACTTAAAAGGCTGTTTAAACAGCAAAAACAAACAAAAGTAATTCAGAACTTCTTCCAGTTAGCTGGTAACTCTCCAGAAGATTAAGCTAAAATCCAATGCTGTGTTTGCAGTTACTTATAAAACAACACTTGAAACTCTGCCTTCTATGCTAATATTGAAATGGCCATGCAGTTCTTAACTAACTTGGTCATGCTCAGATCATAATGTTGAGAAGCAATATCACCCAATAAGGGCTTGTGATAGAATGCCCTACTGTAAGGGAAGCTAAAAAAGTACTTAAAGGAAGATGTTAAAGAACTGCAAGCAAAGAGGACAGCTGAGCCACTTGTTAGTTCACAGATGAATTAAAAGTAAGGATGACTTTAAAAGAAACAGGTGCCACAACTCACGCCCCTGTCATTGTAAAGGAGGCAGGTAGCTGGCTCCAATTGCTGAGAGGTAAGTTTTTCTTCTTCCTACTTGTATACTATGTTGACAGTCCCTACTGTGCTGGAACTGCCTCTGAAGAGGCAGTTCCCCTTAATCCCTATAACGGTGTTTGGGCTGCTGCTTTGCCTCCTTGTAGATAAAGGAGAGAGCATAGGACAGCTTGGCTGGTGCAGGAACCAAGTGATAAGGCAAAAACAGGGTACTGTTATAGGCCCAATCAGACGGCCCCTGCACACGGCAGATAATCCTTTAATATTTTTGGAAGGAATTTCAGCTGCACAAGTTAATGCTGGAGATTCTCCAGGCCAAGCATCTCTGGTTTAATTAGTAAAATGCAACAGCACAGGCTGACTGCCAGTAGCAGCACTGTGTCAGGAGTTAGGCAGGCACGCCTGGAAGTGTCAGTACTGGGATCTAGGTTGGGAAAAAGAGAATTCAAAAGAACTTGTGATTTTTGGGGAAGTGCAAAAAAAAATCCTTTGATATTCCATATGTTCCCCAGATGTATTTACATCTGTGAGGTTAGACATGTTTACTTCCTACTCGACACAAGGCGATTTTAGCTTCTTTGTTCCCCCTACATATTTGTCTATATTTTGCCCAATTAATTCTTCCCTAAACCACTTCTAGATCCCAAATTCATAGAACCCTATCAAATTTGTCTCCATTTTATCTCATAATTCTAAGCTTGCATGTGTTTCAGCAGCTGGAATTCTCCATATCCTCCTCATAAGAACCTCCCAGCCACCTCCTAAAAAACAAGCAATATTTTCTGCATTTTTGAAGTATGCTTATTTGTTGTGCTACCTGCTCAGCTGGCATTAAGAGAGCCACAAGCATGTCGCTTTCCCTTCTCTAACCCATGGTATAGAAAAGGGAAGAGCACTGTTTCAACTAGCTTTTTAGGAAGGAGATTTTTTTCTTTACACTGACTCCCACCTTACTTACAAGCTGTAGCCTTCACCCACATCCCTCATTTTAAAATGAGGCTGAAGATCTTTACAACTTTGATTTAGTAAATCGCTCATTTTATAGCAGCATTACAGCCTGCAGACAAAGCCAGACACAGTGACCCTTTGTAGTATCAACTGTTATTAACATGCTGTAACTCAGCAGTGGCCAAACACAGCTCACCTAAACCAGGTTAGGTATTTAAAAAGCATTTTAAAGAATTAAACCAGTAAAAAGTCTTCATCTCCCTGTATCAAAAAGAACGTTGCCTTCAAGGTAACAGTCCTCTTTCATCCATGCTTCTTGCATTTAATGTCACAAGTGTTTCACTTTAGCTCACTGTAACTACCAGTACAGCCCACCTAACAGACCAGCCAGCATTTCTGAGCAAGGCATTCCTTCTAAGGCTTATTTCAAGAAGCTGCTTTACCAGAAACACACTTATTAACAAGTGCTGATCCAATGCACAGATGTATCTACTGTGAGTGTGTACTCAGCAACTCATTAAAGCTACAAGCAGAACATTGCCTTAACTCTATCTCTTGGGTTTCTGTTACACACCAAGGAGAGTCACTGACACATTTCAAGAGCTCTGGAATTTCCTCCAGTTATTGATGCTCACAGTAACTGTTTCCTAGAAACTTCAGTCTCATGGGTACCAGAACCTGCTTGGAAGTTGCTCTTCATCTGAACCTGCTTGAGCTTAGCAAACCTTGGCACTGGGATTTCTTGGAGGAAGGACAGCAAGATCTGAACTTGTAGGATATGAGCTGAGGTCAAATCTGCCATGAAATCATACTTCAGCTACCCGAAGACAATTAGGACACAAGATTGAGCTGTTTGCATCTGTTCAACAGACAGAAAAATAGAACAAGATTGAAAAGAGTTAATTTAAGCATTTTGAATCCATGTCAGGGAGGGAAGGGACACAGTAGAAACTACATAGACCTTATTTCTGGGGGGTGTCCATCACCATTAAAACAATGTTGATTAAAGTCTGTTCAAGTGTTTCACTTTTCAGCTAACCAACCACCACCTCCTGCTAAAAACCACCTTGTTTTTAAGTGCAGAAACAACTACAAGACAGACATGCATGCTTCTCAGGCAGTTTGTACTTGTTTTATTACTGTTTTTGTAACTATTAGTATTTTCATATCTGGACAACTTAAAAGGAATTTTAGATTTACAACTTCAAAAGACGCAATTATAGGTCTTGATGACAACTACTCTACTGCACTGTATACAACTCTGCCCACCTTGTGCCCCACTCTGTACAGCCCCAAACAAGTGAAAATGAGAATTACGTTCACATTCAAGCTGCAATGAAGCTCAGTTTATGGAAAATGAGTATGTGATAAGCCACAGTTCAACTACTTAAGAATCAAGAAGAGCATACACAGAACAATACATTTTATCATTTTATTAGGAATAATTCCAAGTGGGTTATGAAGAAACTAATCCATTGACTTTGATGAATTTTCCAAAATCTCATTATGAAGATATGTCCACCAACAAACAGTAAAACTTCAGCAGAACTATTATACACTGGGCAAAAATAGTCAGGCTGATACCAAAAAGCAACATGCAACATAAAAAAAAAAAAGATACAATATAAAGGAAGACAATCTGCTGAATATTAAAAACAACCTCAACATGAGCTCTTCGCAGCCAGCACAGAACTATTCTACCCATCCAATCCAATTCTCACAAAGGCAAGTTGGGCCGATGGAACCCAAGGATTAATAAAATGTTCCTCAGTGCAGCAGATCTGAATAGTGTTTTAGAGCATTTTCTCGGCGGGGACAAGCAGTATGAGGAATTCTTTTTGGCAAGGGAGAGAAATAAATATACGGAATGCTACATTTTTAAATCAGCAGACTGTCTGAGGAATGAAACAGGGCATCAGTAAACTAAAAGTAGCAGGGAGAAAAAATTAAAACATTAATTTATTGGGGCTCAAAAAAAAGTATTCAGAACAGATCTTGAAGATGTCACGATAACTGTATTCAGGCATTTAGACTAACAAGGGAAGTAGAATCAGAAGATACACTTTTTCCAAGTTAAGGAGATTTTTTACCCAAGCATATTGCTACCTTTGCAACATGTAGCTCGGTAAACAATAATTGGCAACAAAATAAGTTGAAATGCTGTAATATCCTGCCCAAAGATCAGTTCCAGATATTGTAATAACCAAGATGCAAACTAATTTTGTTGTAACAAGCCTAGACCACTTATATCAAACATGTCCCTGGTGAAAGAGTCATCCAGTTTGAGTTAGCGTTTTGAGAGTTCGTTTGAGAGCCAGTCAAGTCCCTCATACAGACCAGTTCCTTGCGTAGCACAGGTAGCCTGGACATACCACTGTTAACACAGAACACAGACAGAAAGAAGTTTACACACTGACAAAACGCAAACTAAGTTATCACAGTATGTGACACTCAGACACAAACTCAAATAGCGCTCTTTAAACATTGTTTTGCACCCCAGAGGCAATACTGAACAGAGTATTTTCTGAGCTTTGAAAAGTATAGGCAAAGTAGGTAGGGTTTACACATCATCCAGAAGCTCTGTGTGCCAAAATACATTTTAGTGCATCAAGAAGAAAAAAACCAAACTGGCACTTGTTTTATATGTAAAAAACTAGCTTCTCTGTTTTGCAAGATTGCTCTCCTGTAAAAAGGCATGCAATTATCAGATTTAAGGGCCTCTAGGGCATCTGACTACATACAAACTTAGTGTGTCAAACAAAATGAGCACTACACAAGGACAGATAGTTTATGTGAAGCAACCGTGTATCTCAGAGGGCTGTACAGATGAGATGTAATTAGTCAAGAAGTATTTCATTTCCTCACATCTTTGTTGGGATGAGAATACACAAAGCATTTTGTCCCTGAGAAGTGAGCACTTGGACATGAGGCAAGCCTGCCACACTCCTCAAACACTGATGGTTACGTTTCAGCAACAGGCTGCAACATTTCTATTTTTCCAGAAAAAGGTGAGGGAAAACACCTGCAACATGCTGCTGTACGCACTGAGTTATACTTCTAGATCACCTGTTTTAAAGGAGGATCTTCAACTTTGTCCTAGAGTTTAATAGCAGGTACATGCCTCTCTCTACAGAAAGAGGTGAAAGCTTCCTTTGATTTAAAGGGAGATTAATTTTACGACATCTAATAAAGCAAGCCAGAGTTAGCAACCAGACAAGTTTAGCA